AGTTCAATAAGAAAAGCTATAGATTTGTATCGTGGCAGTCTACTGAACAGGCGGTATATCCTGAAAAAGTGCAGCGGCTTTATTGAGGGTATAAAAACGACTGGTGTCTGTGTCTGCATATGTTCTTTCAGACAGTCCTACTTAACTCTTCCTCCAGTCTCATCCTCTAAGGGCAGGTCTATACTAAAGCTGGAAGGGTGGTTTAAAATATGCAACTTCAGCTACATAAATAATAGGCTGGAGTTGACGTATCTTAAGCTGAGTTACGGCACCCCATCCCCAGAGCAGGAGGCAAATGCTCCCATCTACCACAGTCAACAGTAGCACCATCGATTTAGCAGGTCTTTAGTAGACCCGCTAAATTGAACACGGAAAGATTGACCACCGCAGCATCAATTTTCGCGGCAATGAAGACAAGCCCTAAGACATTTGTTATGCTAAGCAATGTTTCCTTAATTGTTCTTGCCTTTTCAGCAGGGACTGCCAAACATGGTGGAGTTGGCTTTCCTGGGCAGGTAGGGAAGGACTGTGCTGTGTCTTCAAAGCTAGAGATAAAGGGAGCAAATGTGAAGTCTGGCAAAGGTGTGCAAGGGGGAGGCTTGCACCATATAAGGCTCCACCAACAAAAAGCTGCATCCCATTTGGTGGAGGACCAGTCTCTGGGTAGAGGGAGGACGACTACCTCTGACTGCCATGAATCCTATTGTATTTGTTCTCTTTTCTCCACAAACCAACCTTTGCCTGCTTTTTTGTCTCATCTACCTGTTAGAGCTTTTCTTTTAGGATGTGAGCTCCCTGGAGCAGGCACTACTATTTATTGTATGTTTGTTAGACTTCTAGCACAATGGCACCCAATCTGGCTGAGTTCTTTGTTACCACACCAAAAATAAATAATAAGAATAAACTTCCCCAAAGACATTCTCTGCCTAGAGTCTCCTGCTCCTGGACCTTAGAATTCCCAAATGGGGATGCGGGATCCCGGCACATTGGATCTGGTACTGGCCAATGTGGGTAGCATTTTCCTCCTGGTGCCCCCTCAGTTGGGTGCTGGGCACTTCAGTATTGCTCAAGAGTATGTTGGGCCGCACAGATCACCCAGTACCAAAAATACAATCCAGGTAACCTATAAAGAGAATCTCCTCCATGCCGCAAGTGGCTTTTGGTCCTCGCACCTTTGTAATGGAGCCTCAGATCTTTTATTTCCTTTTAGCCTAGCTTCCCGGGGAAGGGTATAAGTAAATGGACATTCATATTTCCTATTGTATGCCAAGGTTTTGTCAATTATAGAGCTCATTTATAACTAACTGATTTGCCTGCTCCTTGAGGATAACATCTGGGCTAAGCATTCACATTGCTACCGCAGACCACCTGGAAGCATGCTTATAAGACGGCTTATGAGAAACACACTCCCAAAAACAGGCTTGCTAAGCAGCACAAAGTGATCACTAAGAAATGGCTGAGGGCACAAAAAGCATTTTAATTAGATATTTTGAGTGTGCAAAAGTGTCCAGGTGAAGGGCTTCTGGACCAATAGGATACAGCATTTCAGTAAGCTTGACCAGTAACACTGTGATTGATACACCAATGAGACAGTGGACTATCTGAATCATCAGGCTAGCATACCAGCACTTGCTGCATCTGCACTGGTGGAATGTGACACAAGGGTTAGCCTTACAAAGCAAGTGCAATGCCCACAGAGCTACGACCTGTCTGTACCACCAGTGGAACTTTTATGCATGGATGCAGCATGTGTCATAGGCATGCTATTGTTCAAATGAGAGCTAAGATGCAAAATGTATCTTGTGAAGACAAGGCCATTCTCCTTTTCTTATTTTAATTTGAATACAGATGTAAGATAAATGCAAGTGTTTAACTGGCATAGTCTGTGCAAAAATTTTCAATTTAGTTGGGATTAATCTTGGTTCTTCCCTGAGACTCTATGAACACACAGCTTATTAAAGATTTATCTGTTTGCGTAGAGGCAGCTGGTCTGCTAGTTCATTTTTAATTTCCCAGCTTAGTCTGTGCAGGAAAGCAAGCTACAGCACTTCCTCTCTACTGCCAGGGTCCTGGCAATGACACTTCCTCCCTGTGGAGCCCAGAGGTTTGGCGCCGGCCAAGGTGCTAAATGGAAGATTGTGTTCATCCTCTCCTCACCTTTTGTGCACTGGTGGCTGCCTCTGCCAGAACACATGCACACCTCTACAGATGCTGGCATCCAGGGACAGCAGTGATGAGTCTGCAGCACTGAAGTGGAAAATGCCTTGAGCTGCAGGTTTGGAGTATCTCTGCCATCTGTTTTTGTGAGCAGCGACTAGGATTTCTCACAAATGAATTTGAAACTAGTCTATCCTGCTTGGTCCACAAAGAAAGCATTTGAGTGTCTGTGAGCTGCCCCACTTGGGGACACTTTCCTTTCCCACTTGCCTACCAGGAGTGAACTGAATAATTGCTGATCTTTGGAGTCTGCAAAATGTCTCAGCTTTAAATCCACAAGGTGTCTCTGCTACCTAAACAGCAAACTTAATAAGCAGGCCATACTTTATACATCCCTTTTTATAAACATATGGGATTGTACTTTAAATCCCATAATACCAATGCAGTCTCTTTCAAATTCTATACAAGGTAACGCAATATCTTTCCAATATACAGGCAGTCCCAGGGTTACGTACAAGATAGGGACTGTAGGTTTGTTGTTAAGTTGAATTTGTATGTAAGTCGGAACTGGTACATATTTTGGGGGGGAGGGGGCGGGGAGCTGGAGTTAGGTGGAAAAGACCCTGATTCTCATACAACTTCCTTATTCTAAGAAAAACACATACTGTTTTGATATGAAGGTTTTTTTGGTTGATATTTTAATTAAAAATTGATCATTAGTTTCATTCTATATCCAAATCTTCCTTTTGGAGTACCTGAAAGATCCCAGTTAGTCATTTAATAGTCAGAATCTTTGTTTTTTATAACTACAAAAAGTTTATTCAATGCATATTACTGTTCCAAATAGAATTTGCTACAGATGGTTCAGTGAAATGGGTATTAAGAGTAATCAATAGTCATTGGAGAGCACAGTGAAATATTGATACAATCAAAGCTGTTGTTGTATTCTGCTGAGCAGAAAATGGAAATCCCTTCCTGTGAAGTGTGTGTGTGAATTTATCCACAGGATTAATTTTAAAGAAAAATTCTGTGTTGGGAACAGGAGTTTAGCCACAGGTGGGTCCTCATTGTCCACTCACCCACTTTGCAACCAGACCCATCCCCTCGGGGCTTACCCTGCTCTGCTCCAGCCAGGGTGTGGGGTTGGGGCTTATCCCCTCTTCCCTTCTGTCCTGCTCCTCCCCATTCTTGCCCACCCACACCACTGGGTAATTTTTCAGCTTCACCTCTGCCAGGCTGGAAGGGACTTGTTAATTTCACGTGACGCTAACAAGATACTTGCAGCTCTAGTGCTGAAGAGGGAAATTCCCTTTAGTTCATTCCCAGCTTCTGACAAATAGAGACTAGAGACATCATCCCTGCCCATCCTGGCTAATAGCCATTGATGGACTCTATTGACATGTTGGGCTTTCCTGCTCGCGGGGGGGGGGGGGGGAGCGCTAGCTCCGCGTCTCCCTGGTCTGCTGGGGGGAAGCGCCCCCGGCACCGCCAGAGGCGGCAACAGTGGGGGAGGCACCCCGCAATAGCTGCGCCCCCCCCCCATTTGTAACTAGGGATCCGACGTAAGTTGGATTGATGTAACCCGGGGACTGCCTGTAGATATACATGAAGCAAAACAATCAGTTTCACATACACTACTGCAAATCTAGAACAGTCAATTCACTGAAGTTACTTTGGATTTACACTGGAACAGAAGCAAAATTTGGAGCTCAGTGTAATGGGCCAAAAAGTTGTTCTTTGTATGGATATATTTCTGTATTCTATTTTCTTCTACTTTAAAAAGTGCACATTTGTTATGTCACTAGTGAAAAACTCCAATGTCCTAATAGGTTAAAGAGTCTCTGAAGGATTTAAGGGATTTAAGGGGCCCACTGTTCCACAATTATCACAGACACACACGCACATGTATTTACATATAAAGCAAATATAAACAAGAAATACACTGGCATCCATAAAGACACATCTTAGAGGGTTGAAAAAACTCAGAAGATTAATTTTGTTTTCATATTCAAATTCTCTCTCTCTCTCTCTCTGATGGTTTTTACCACCAGCTTGTCTCAGTATTACTCAACCTTGTTGAGAGCAGGAACTGGCTTGCTGCCTTTTGAAATTGAGTCAAGGAGAGATCTCAGGGACTGGCACTCATCCACAGACTGGTCATTGAGAAACAATGGCTTATCATGTAGGCCTAAATTTTCAGAAGTGATTAATAGAATCTGTCACCCAAACTGAGACACTATATAAAGGTTTGATGTTGAGAAAGTGCCAAGAACCCAGCCTCAAAAATCAGATTTTTTTTTAAACATGTCTTGGATCAGACACCCAATTTTGGCATTAAATTATAAGCAATTTCTTACAAATCTCATAGCTGGGATTTTCACAGGTGCTTCACAGCACCCATTTAACTATTCTCCCATTGATGCACCATAGACTGTGGTTCCTGATTTACAGGTGCAAAACAAAAATTGAAGCTCAGGTAAGAACATTTTGGACCTTGAAGACTGTCATTTTGGTAACAGCCCAAGAGGTGTTTCTATTATACACTGTAAATTTGTCAGTCCCACAGGAAATCGCTTTGCAATCATACTGAATCTCACAGAAAGCCCCTGTAGCAGGGAACTGATAAGCCCACTGAGCCTGGACGACCGATGATGCCATAGCTGCCAAAAGAGAATGAGATCATCTGTTTCCAAGCAGGAGCTAAAGGGACCCAGAGGGCTCAGTATCAAAGCACATGTCCAGTAAAATGACAGACCCTAACTGCTTCTTAACTGCTGAAGAAAACACCCTGGAAACACTACATGATAAACAAAAAGGGCCAACAACAGAGCGTTCAGACTTACCTAAATGCATCAAATGGTGAGACAGGTTTTGGGGAGAAGTCATCAAGGAAACATGAAAAGGAAAAAGAGGAAATAAATTAGTTTAGAATTATTTAATTCCAATTAGTTTGAAGACATGAACTAAATACTTTAAAAAAAGCGGCGGGGGGGGGGGGGGGGGGGGAATAAGAAAAAGAAGTACTTGCTTTTTGTATAGTGTGAGCTGGTCAGCCACTACTTTATTATATAACGTAAGAGCTGGATTTCACATAAGGTGAGCAAGGTGCTATCTTTTATTGGACCAGCCACTATTGGTGAGAGACAAAAGCTTTTGAGCTACAAAGAACTCTTCTTCGGTTCTGGGAAAGATACTCTGTCACAGCTAAAAATCAGATAGCATAAGGAGCAGCTAACACATATTGTAAGAAACAAAAAACAGGACTATGTAGCACTTTAAAGACTAACAAGATGGTTTAATAGGTGATGAGCTTTCATGGGCCAGACCCACTTCCTCAGATCAAATAGTGGAAGAAAACTGTCACAACCATATATACCAAAGGATACAATTAAAAAAATTAAAACCACTCAAGATGAAGTTGGCCAGTTAACACCTATCCAGTCATGGGGGGGAGGGCAATTGGTGCATTAAACTGTAAATCCATCTTCTCTATAGTCAGTCCATGAGCTTTAGCATCTAGCAAAATTATGAACTTAAGCCCCCAGGTTTGTCTTTTGAACGTGTTGTGCAGGTTTCCTCTGAAGACGAGGGCTGAGAAGTCAGATACAGAGTGATGGTTTTGTGAAAAGTGGTAACATAGATATGGCAGGGTGAGTTTTTGTTTGTTCTCTTATTTTTTCTGTGAGAGTTCATTCGAGAGCACAGTAATTGTCAGGCTTCACCCACAGAGTTGTTATTGAGGCATTAAGTGCACAGGATGATACACACCACATACTGGGACAGGCATATATAGGCAGAGCCATCCCATCTATAGGATGGTTCAGGGCAGCTGCCCCAGGCTCTGCACTTTGGTAGGGCCTGCAGCAACCACCTCAATCATCCTATGGATGGGTCCTAGGGTGTCCCAAGAGATTACCTACTGCAGGGAGGCAGCAGGTAGGCTTAGTGAAGTGGAGCGTAGTGGACTGGGACAGTGGTGGAACGGAATAGAGCAGGCTGCCACGCCACTCTGCCTTCCGCCACTACAGTGAATGCTGGGGTTGGGGTGGGGAGCCCTGCTGCCTCCCTATACCCCTCCCCCCCCCCACACAACTTGAATTGCTCAGGGAAGGAGGCCTTGGCAAGGAGGCAGGGCAGAGATGACAAGGGCTGGGGCAGAACAAGAGCAGAATTTGGGGGAAGGAGTGGAGGTGGAGCAGAGGGTGGGTGGAGCCTGCAGTGGAGGGTTTCCTTGGGCCCTGCACCTGGGACATGCCATGAGTTCTCCTAGGGATGGCCCTGTGCATAGGACACATGGATTTTGAAAACTGTGATGTGGATTTAACACTGTCAATTTCACTCAGTGTTGCCTTCAATGCTTCCTACCTTTAGAAACACAGCGGGTAGATGAGGAGTAAGAGGGTGGAGAGGGCTGTCAACATGAAGGAAGAATGTCCTGTCAAACAATCCTACACACTGCAGGCAAAAAGCCTGTAATCCACATTCCTGAAGGGTTCAGTGGAGTTGCTTGCCTGAGGTAGGGGTTTCAACAGAGGAAACTACTAAGGATGAGACTGCTAAAGGCTGGACCATGCCAGGCACTAAAAGTGTCCTCAACTCCCATCAACTTCAACTGAGCACTTTTCACAACCTGATTCCCTGCAGGGATCCCATGGTTCTGGATACACTAAGCCAGGAGAAAATTTCAAGAGGAGACAGTTACAAAGGAAAAAAATAAACCAGTCTTAAAAAAAGTGGAATTTCCAAAATGCCATCTTTATTGGGCACTGGTTCCTTCTTAGCAAGCCTCCTGCAGCATGCAGCGATTAATTCAACATAATGCAGCCCCATTCATTAATGTTGTTGTATGGCAGCAACTTTAACAAAGCTCTTTTAAGTGAACAATTAGAGCTTGGCAGCACTGGCTATAGTAACTCAGATCCCACTATTTCCACTGAATCAATGGTGAATGGAAATGGACATGCTTGTTTTCAGCATGTCTCTACTGTATGTCGAATATGGCCATATTTTAATTCAGTCTCAATATATACAACATTTTCACATTCTCCCCTATACTTGGTTCAATCCAGTAAAATTTCCCTATTCAAAATGACCACCAACTCTCTGGCTGTGTTTGGCTTTTCCGGAAAAACTTGCCAGCTGTCTACACTGGCCGCTTGAATTTCTGCAAAAGCACTGACTTCCTACTGTAAGAAATCAGTGCTTTTTGCGAAAATACTATGCTGCTCCTGTTCGGGCAAAAGTCACTTTTGCGCAAAAGGGCCAGTGTAGACAGCTGAGATATGTTTTGTGCAAAAAAGCTCCGATCGCGAAAATGGCGATTGGGGCTTTTTTGCGCAAAAGTGCATCTAGATTGGCCAGGGACGCTTTTCTGCAAAAAGTGTTTTTGCGGAAAAGCGTCCGTGCCAATCTAGACACTCTTTTCCGAAAATGCTTTTAACTGAAAACTTTTCCGTTAAAAGCATTTCCGGAAAATCATGCCAGCCTAGACGTAGCCTCTGTGTTTTCAGTGAGACAGAAGTCAAGCTGTACTCAGAGAAAATGGCTGCCACTCTATGGTTAGAAGACTAGACTAGGGACTATGAGAAGAAATGTGACAGTAGGTAGCTGTAGAGCTGTCAGAACATAAGAACGGCCATACTGGGTCAGACCAAAGGTCCATCTAGCCAAGTATCCTGTCTGCTGATAATGGCCAATACCAGATGCCCCAGGTAATCCTCACGTGATCCCTCCCCTGTCACCCACTTCCAGAGAAACAGAAGCTAGGGACACCATTTCTACCCATCCTGGCTAATAGATTCATGGAGGTTAGGTCCATCAATGGCTATCTAGCTCTTTTTTGAACCCTGTTCAAGTCCTAGCCTTCACCACATCCTCTGGCAAGGAGTTCCACAGGTTCACTATGTGCTGAGTGAAGAAAAACTTCCTTTTGTTTGTTTTAAACCTGCTGTCCATTAATTTCATTTGGTGACCCCTAGTTCTTTTACTGTGGGAATAAGTAAATAACTTTTTCTTATTCACTTATTCCATACTAGTCATTTTATAGTCCTTTATCATATCCCCCCTTAGTCTCCTCTTTTCTAAGCTGAAAAGTCCATATCGTTTTAATCTCTCTTCATATGGGACCCGTTACAAACCCCTAATCATTTTTGTTGCCCTTTTCTGAACCTTTTCCAATGCCAATATATCTTTTTTGAGATGAAGCGACCACATCTGTACGCAGTATTCAAGATGTGGTCATGCCATGGTTTTATATAGAGGCAATAAGATATTTTCTGTCTTATTCTCGATCCCTTTTTTAATGATCCCTAACATTCTATTTGCTTCTATGACTGCCGCTGCATACTGAGTGGATGTTTGCAGTGGATGTATCCACAATAACTCCAAGAGCTTTCTTGAGTAGTTGTAGCCAAATTAGTCCCCAGCATACTGTATATATAATTGGGATTATTTTTTCCAATGTGCATTACTTTATATGTATCAACATTAAATTTCATTTGCCATTTTGTTGCCCAATCAGTTAGTTTTCTGAGCTCTTTTTGAAGCTCTTCACACTCTGCTTTGGTCTTAGCTATCTTGAGCAGTTTGGTATCATCTTCAAATTTTGCCACCTCACTGTTTATTTATTCCTTTCTATAGATCATTTATGAATAAATTGAATAGGATTGGCCCCAGGACAGACTCTGGGGGGAGCCCACTAGTTCCCTCTCTCCACTTGGAAAACTTACCATTTATTCCTACCCTTTGTTTCCTGTCTTTTAACCAGTTATCAATCCACGAAAGGACCTTCCCTCTTATCCCATGATAACTTACTTTACTTAAGAACCTTTGGTGAGGGACCTTGTCAAAGGCTTTCTGGAAATCTAAGTATACTATATCCACTGGATCCCCCTTGTGCACGTTTGTTGACCCCCTCAAAGAACTCTAGCAGATTAGTAAGGCATGATATCCCTTTACAGAAACCATGTTGACTTTCCCCCAACAAATTATATGTATCTATGTGTCTGACAATTTTATTCTTTACTATAGTTTCAGCTAATTTGCCCAGTACTGACATTAGACTTACCAGTCTGTAATTGCCAGGATCAGCTCTAGAGCCCTTTTTAAATATTGGTGTCACATTAGCTATCTTGACAGGTTACAAACCACAGTTAATAGTTCCACAATTTCCCCTTTGAGTTCTTTCAGAACTCTTGGGTGAATGCCATCTGATACCAGTGACTTGTTACTGTTAAGTTTATTTATTTGTTCCATACCTCCTCTAATGACACCTCCATCTGGGACAATTTCTCAGATTTGTCACCTAAAAAGAATGGCTCAGGTTTGGCAACCTCCCCAATAGCCTCAGCCGTAACAGTAAGAAGTGGAAAGCAGGAGGTAGAGGGAGGAGAAGGGCAGAGATATGTGGTTTAGCAGAGGAGAACATTAGAGGAAGGAGGAAAATGTGAGAACAAGTGACCATGGGGGACAGTAAGCTATGAGGGATCCTGGAAGGCACTCTCTGCCTCAGACTCCATGCAGAACTGGAGTATTTTCTTTACTTTTTCATAACTTTGAAATACTTTAATACCAGACAAAATGAGAAACTCTTTAGCACAGAACCCAGCGGTGCAGAAACGTTACTCAGAAATTTCCCCTCACTTGGTTCTGCCACTGGCACCTTAGTTTTGACCAGTAATATCCCTATCTGTTCAAGCCCAGGCATCCTATGCACCTTTGCAACTGTACCTCAGTATGAACCTTTGGCGCTCCTGCTATTCCAGGCTTGGGTCCCTCAATCTTCCTAAATCAGGCCTGCATACCACCACTTTAGGGACAGGTATCAGGAATGGAGCTTTGGATTGTTAATGGTCAGGATTCTGATGACTGGACAAAATTAGGTAGGATCCAGCACAG